CGTGCGACACACACTCTCACACACAATCTCTCTCTTTCTGTGTTTGTGTGCAGCTGGCCCGGTCGCCGGACGAGAGCAATCGGGATGCACTCGAGAAGGACGTGAAGGCATGCTTGCTTCCCTCACTAGACGAGGACAGCAGAGATGGATTGATGTGTGTGAATGTAACACATCCAGATGAAGGAGCTGGTGCGGCAGCTTAGGGAGGGCAAGCGCCTGGGAGTCGTCCCGGTAGGTGAACGACTAAGGTGCGAGTGTACCATCTGCACGAATATATCATGTGTGTGTAGGACAAGCCCGAGGACGCCCAGCTGTACACCGTCGCCCTGCGGGAAGGAGACCTTCTCATCTTGGGCACCGACGGTGCACACACACACACACACACACACACATGCACACAGCCACACCCATGCGTTGGATGAACGCGCACCCGTGTGTGCAGGTGTCTTTGACAACCTCTTCGACGACGAGCTCTGTGGCATCGCCGACCTGACGCTCTCGCCGTCTGAGTCTCTCGTAGGCACACGCCCACAGACACACACAAAGAGAGGCCCTGAAGGGGAAGACCACACGGGTACGTGTGTGTGCGTATGTGCGTGTCTGCAGGTGCTGAACGACCCGTCTCTAGCCACACCTGCGCGTAGCGTCGCCGCGGCAATCGCAGAGGCGGCCAGACACAGGAGGTACACACAGACACCAGACACCAGAGCCCGTCCATCTATCCATCCATCCATATGCTTATGTGCTGTCCCTGTGCTGCAGCATGGATCCCCACTGCAAGACGCCCTTCGCCAAGACCGCCCGCCAGAACAACACCCACCACACGGGCGGCAAACTGGACGATGTCACAGTAGTCGCCGCCTGGGGAAAGACTTCACCAGACACTCCAAACACTGAATCTCCCACAGAAGGCATGTATACATGCTCAAATAAGGCACTCCCGAATAAGGCTCAAATTGCTGCCTGATTGTGTGTTGAGCAGATGTGTGTGGCGATCGCTGCCTTCATTTTATATTTCGTTGTCATTTCCTTCGCCCGCTGACGCGACGCCGGGAGGAAAAGAGAGTATCAACGTCATTCAGTGGTCAACGCGGGTAAAAATGGGACACACACACATTCGTCCAATCCATGGAGGCACACCATCACAGACACATGGACACACACACCATCACAGACACATGGACTCACACACACATGCGTGTGCAAACGAACAGGCTCGCCGACTTCTTCACTGACCCCCCTCTCATCTGCGTCGACGGCCTCGTCCAAGACCCATCGGCCGACCCCGAGCAGCGGTGCTGGTGGCGGTGAGACCGTGGCCGTCAAGGAGGGGACCTGCCGCCCGAGGGAGGCATACCTGCAGGAGATCCAGCGGGTGGACCTTCCGCCAGAGGAGATCGCCCTCAGGTACTGAAAAGGTGTCGATGGATGGATGGATGGACGGCCGTGTTCGGGTGTGCAGGATCTTGCAGTACGGCTATATATATGTACACCCGTGCCTATGGCTCATCACAGCACTTGTCGTCGTATACCTCGACAAGAAGGTCAGTGACCTTTCCTGTTTCACAAATCCATCCATCTGTCCGTCTGTGTACCTATGTGTGTGTCTGTGTGTATTTGTGCAGGGCGAGACGCTGGCCGTCGCCAACCTCGGCGACTCTAAGATGATCCTTCTGCGGTAAGTGCACCTGCCTCCATCCATCCATCCATGTGTGTGTGTCTGTGTGTGTGTGGGTGCATTTAGGCGGCAGAAGAACCAGAGGATGACGGTGCCCCATCACCAACGAGCAGCAGCACTCCTGGAACTGCCCGTACCAAGTGAGGCAGTGCGTGACTGACCTGACATCCACACACATGTGTGTGTGTGTGTGTGCAGCTCTCTAGGCTGCCCGATGAGACCCAATACGGAGAGCTCGAGAGGAAGAAAAAGAAAGAACACACAGATGCAGCCGTGTGTGACCTGTCATAATGCGTGCAGAGAAAACTCGGCAGGGTGTGCAAGAAGGCCAGGCAGGGCAGAGACGGCGTGTCTCCTGGGGTATGTGTGTAAGTTAACTACACATGTGCACCACACCCTCTCTCTCTCTGTGTGTGTCTGTGCGTGAAGGACACCCCCGACATGGCGCAGAAGAGCGTGGCCACCGTCGTCGAGGGCGACCTCCTCATCATCGGCACCCATGGTACACAATCCACACACATGCATCATGCACACAGCCACGCGCATGCACTGGATGCGCATCCGTGTGCAGGTGTGTTCGACAACCTCTTCGACTGTGACTTCTGCGACATCGCCAGCCTGGCCCTGTCACCCTCTGAGTCCCTAGTAAACACACGCCCACAGACATACACAGAGAGAGAGAGGGGCTCACACGGGTACGTGTATGTGCGTGTCTGTCTGTCTGTCTGTGTATGTCTGAAGCCTTCAGCACGTGCTGTGATAGAACACTTCTTTCTCCTCGGGCTCCAAGCTCGCAGATCTATCGCTGCCTTTGTCCGTTATCGCTACAAGCTTCCCACTCTGTACTCTGTAGCTATAATTGCGATACTTTCCAGTTGCGGCCTCGAGGAGGCCTCTTCGCAGATCTCCGGCGAGTATGTTCCAACACATGGCGACTCCGGCGAAAATGGCACGATTGCTGCGGGTGCTGTGCAGAGGTTTCTGGCGGCTCTGGTGGTGATGAGATTGTGGTCGTCAAAGAGGGTGAGACATACCTGGAGGAGATCAAGCGAATGGACCTGCCGCCTGAGAAGATCGCGCACTTACACATGTACATTAAGGCCGACCGATTGTCATTGTGTGTGCTGTGTGTGCTGATGTGTTACGGTTGATGCAAGTTGTCTCTCGTGCGCTGGTGTGTAGGTTCTCTGATCACTTACTGGCAGGTACACAGAGACACAGAGACACACACTCACACAGAGAGACACGAAGAGAGTGAGCATCATCAATCCACTCATACGTATAGCTCTCTGGTGTCTCTCTATGTGCTGTGTGTCTGCAGGCCGCCACGGCACCAGCAACAGCAGCAGCTGAAGTTGTTCAGACAATCGGTGTCTACATTTTATATTTGACGAGACCGTTTGATTGATCTTGCTGCCTTGTTGAGTTCGTGAATGAGTGGAGAGTCTGTGATGATAGTGGAGAGTCTGTGATCTGACGTTGATGACAGGTGCACGTCGAGAGTCTGCCTGCCTTGCATTCTGTCTTGCCCTTAATCGCAGCACACAAATCATACACAAAGACACATATCTATCCACTCATTTTCGCTTCACACCTCTCTCTTGCTTCGAAGTTTGTCTCTTCGATTTTTCTCCTCCGCCCGCCGAGAAGAAGTCAGTAATACATCCACCCGGCTTGTTCGATGCGCTGAGAGTCATCTTGATCACCAAAGCAATCACCAAAGCAACAGGCAACAAGAGGCGGGCCAACAAAACAACAGCAGGAAGATCAACAATCGTGAAAATCTGTTTCTCGGCGTGTCTCGTGTGCGTTGCGACCCACCAATTTGCCTTGTTATGCTTCGAACCAACTCTTCGTGCTGACAGCCGCATTGCTTTAGGGCCAGCGCACTGCCAAAGGGGAATTCGGGCCGTCTTGTTTTCGCAGTTCCTCGGTCGCTACGTGAAAGGGACCCTCAAGCCCGACAGCTCGTCCACGTCTGATGCACACGCCATCGCCATCACCGGCCGTATCAGCACCGTCCACACGGTGCTGCTGATCCCCACTCGATGTGCCCATCGCACCTGCGGATCCGATATTTGTACTCGAGCTTTTCGCCCGCAGCCAGCACCAGCTCCTCAGCGAGCGTCCACTACGGGAACGTCGGGTGATCTGTCGTCATGGCCAGGCCCTTGCTGACATCCCAGCTGCCGAGGGCCCCGCTTCCCCGTTCGTCCGTTAGGCTGTACAACGTGTGTAACGGTTGACTGTGTAGCTGTCTGTTTGTGTGCCGGCGCCATCCCGTGCAAACCCCATTCATAGTGACAACGAGTCCCATGTAATAACACTACTGCCATGCCACCTACGCAGAGCACCTTGACATCACAAATGCACCCGTCCCTGAGGGAGGTCGCATGCCTCTCTGCACCACCAAGACATCGGTGCAGGGAGGGCACATGACCATCCACAGGGGCTAGATGACATGAACACGCAGCATGCGGGGTCAGCGGTGGATGGTGTGCGAGACAGATCCCCTAGTGGGAGCAGGTAACACGAGTGCCCAGAGAGACGACCACATGGATGACCCTTCCTAACAGCCGCCAAGAGATGCCCTTACGCGCCAGCGATAACCAAATATAAGACCGACAAGCAGGTACAGGCAACTAAGGCACAAGCAGGGATACCAGGGAGCGCCACGCACAGCCAGCCACCGAAGGAAAGGAAAACACAGATGGGAGGGTGGGAGGGAAAAAAGCAGCGCATACCCATGCCTGCGAATGAACCAAAGACCCACAGACACACACACCAGGTCCGGATGATGCAGGTCCACCGACCCATGCATATGTGTCCCTCCCCCCCCTCCATATATATGCACACGTACCTGCGAATGAACCAAAGACCCCTTTCTGAAAGAAAGAAAACCGGGCGCTCAACCCTACCCCAAAAGCAAACCGACAGAAATGCAACTCACGACCCGCACGCAGCCAGCCAGCCACCCAACGCATCCTCCCTCACTCCAGAAACTCCCTTCCTCCCAGAAAAACCAAGCTGCCGACAAACACATTTCATTTCCCGGCTCCGTCACGCTGCTACACGCTGCACTTGCAGCAAAAGGAGAGATACGATGCACTCACGGGGTTCTGCTCTCGCTGCTGCCGCCTGCGCATCGTGGCAGTCAACAGAGGAGGCCGGGCGGCGGAGCCGATGGGTTGGGAGGGGATGCCGGAAGACAGAGTCTGACGCCAGATGCGATGGATGAGACCTCTGGCCATGGAGCTTGGGAGGTTCAAGTCGGAGATCTGAGTCGTCGAGCCTCAGCTCACACACCCCTTTGCCTTCGGGGAAGGGGGAAGAGAGAGAGGAAGATCTGCGAGCTCAGCCCGCAGACTTCTCCCTCTTTCTCCCCCTCTTCTTTTTAGAGCTCTCATTCGTCTTATCTGTTCCCATCTTGCCCGGCATCCCCTCCCAGCCCATCGCCTCTCCCGCCCGGCCTCTCTTTTGGGGATCACGGCCGTAAGTTCAACTCAGTTCACTGACGGCCGTGATGCAGACAAAGCAGCACCGACATGTACAGCCGGCGAGTGCATCCTATATCTCTTTCCGCTGCAAGTGCAGCGTGACGGAGCCGGGAGATGAGCTGGTGTTGGTCGGCAGCTGCGGGGCCCTCGGCAGCTGGGATGTCAGCAAGGGCCTGGCGATGACGACAGATCACCATACGTTCCCACAGTGGACGCTTGCTGAGGAGCTGGTGCTGGCTGCCGGCGAAAAGCTCGAGTACAAGTACGCGATCCGCAGGAGCGATGGGCACATCGAGTGGGAGCCACTGGAAGGTATCGCGGTCGATTGCATGAGAGTGTCTGCATCCATCAACTTGACGGCCTTGTTATTGCGTGTCGTGCTTGCAGGCAATCGTTTGATCCGGTCGCTGCCGACGGGCCGCTTCTCGCTGGACGACAGCTGGGGTACACAGATATGAACATACGCACAAACACGCGTATGCGGAGTGTCTCTGTTAATCTCTCTGTGTATGGGTGCATGCAGGTGTGCTGCCGCCATTTACCTTGATGAAGGCCAAGTTTCCCCACTGCACGCTTTCGCCTTCCCACCAGCAGCAGCAGCAGCAGCATAGCCAGAATCAAGAACAGCATCCCTTCACATACATCTTCGTCGGCCGCCGCACCTACTGGCTGCTGAGCATAGAGGACGTCGTGCGGCTGAGGGCCACCTGTACGTGTCTCGGAGAGCTCTTCGGAGCGGCCCAGCTAAGAGATCGGCTCCGCCACTCGCTGGGCTCACAGGCGGGGCTGCGGCGGGTGGTGAATGGGCAGCAAGTGCAGCTGCTGCGGCTCGACGACGACCAGTTCGGCGCCCATGATCTGGTGGCGGCTGTGTGTGTGGTGCAGGAGGGGCACTGGGGCGAGATGGGCGAGGTGATTGAGCTGGCGGGGCAGTGCGGCAACTGTGACCTGCCTGTGACCCTTAGTGGGGCTGACATCAACACACACACAAACATAACGGTGAGCCAGCAGACAGAGGGGCGGGCAGGGAAGGGAGAGGGCCCCATTCTCTCTAGGTGTCTGTGTGTGGTCCTGTGTGTAGGCGTATGTGTCGGCTCCCCGTGTCTTGGCGCAGCTCAATATGGTCGGCCGCTACGTCCACTTCAGTGACGACACCAGCCTGCAGCTGTTCTACCACGGCAACGGTGAGGTGCGGGCCATCATCGACGAGCCCGGCTTCCGCTTGGAGGTCGACCCGCCCCTCCCCGCCGGCCACATGTACCAGGAGCACCGGCAGCCACACGACCCACCGTCGCGCAGCAGCATCGCATATTTTTTGCCTGGGGGCTGGCGACCGCTGACTGCTCCTTATGCCTACGCATCTGTGTCGTCGTTTGTCAAGAGGATGATCCTTTACCACTTCACAGCAGCCCACCAGCACCAGTACAATTTGTCATGGCATTCACTCGTTAGGTACGACACCAACGACACCAAGGGGGCGGAAGGAACACCACCAGAAGTCATTTGTTGGTGTGGTTGGTTCAGGGGTGTCGGTGGCGGCCGTCTGGATCGCCTGTTGACCGAGTCACCCCACACACCAGTGGCCGGCTGCACGACGACAATCAGCCAGTGGTCGCGGCACATCGGTGGCGGGGTTCCCTGGCGATACCTGGTGCTCACCGACAGCAGCCACCCATTCGTCGCATGGATTGAGATTAAGCCATACCCAACCAACCGCGGTCAGGGTGGCACATGGGGAGAGTGCTGCTTGTCAAATGGGTTGTGTGTGTGTGTGTGTGTGCAGTGCATGTCTGTATCGTGACGACTGAGGCGGCTGTGTGTGAGCGTGGTTTGTTCAAGTACCGCTTTCCGGCCACCGCCCAGGTGGCTCGCGTGGCGTTGGGGGCGGTAGGGCGTTGGTGGCACCTTCAAGTATCTGCAACATGATGATGACCGATCCATCAGCCGTCACGCACTGGTGGGTGCGCAGCGATACATCCCCTCTGTCGCCAATGACTCGCCATGTTGCTGAGTGCCGCCCTGCCCTCTGTGTGTCTGTTGTCAGGAGGGCATCTCAAGTTGGGTGGTGGCTCTCGTCACTCATCTCTGTCGCCGATCGGTTTGTTCTTCAGGACACATTGCCCATCGCTCACTGTGTGGACCAGCTGCTGCTGCTGTGTGACCGAATGGCTGGCGTGGCTCTGATGGGTGTGGGTGTGGGCGTAAGTGCATCTAGTGTAAGTGCATCTGGTGTGGGTGTGGGTGCCGGCCGATTTTGATGTCATGCCCCGGTCGATGTGTGAGTATGTTTGCTGCCTGGCTGACTCACCTGCCTGCCATCACTCTCTCTCGAGGTGACTGTTTGCTGGAGTGTGTCTGCCTGTGCGTGCCGCGGTTGACGGCCGTCAAGTGACTGAGTTGACTTAGTGAATTGGTCACTCTTACAAATGGCCCGGCCCCTCCGGTCCGCCACACAGACAGAGATGCTGCCGACACCGTTTACCACACAGACAGACCTGACATGTATCCACACCCACCCCGCCCCAAAGTACCAACACACACACTCGGAGCCATCCATCGATCTGTCCACAGGTGTCAGCGGTGGGTCATGTGTGTGGGTATACAATCATGACACACAGACGGATGGCACAAGGACACATCCGCCACCTTACTATGTCGTGCCTCTTGCATTCCTTCTTGCCCGCATTATTGAATAATCGCAGACACTCATTTTTGTCTCTCGAGCTCGAGAAGTCACTAGTACAGCCCAGCTTATTGTCGGACGATGCCTCATAATCATCTTGATCAACAGACAACAGAGGGCAAACCTACGCCGTGATCAAAATCTGTTTCTCGGCGTGTCTCTGTGCACTGGACCCACCAATTTGCCTCGTTGGGCTTCGAGTAGCTCGAGCACCATTCCTTGCTCGTGCTGACAGTTGCATTGCTTCAGGACTAGCGCAAAGGGGAGTTGGGGCCGTCTCATTTTGACAGAAAGCGTTGACAGAAGGCGTTGACGCGTTGCCTCACTGGGCAGCCCCACCGCGACCGGCGATGTGGGGCCGTCTTATTTCAGCAACGCACCGTGGCTTGGGTGTTGGCCACCCACGGCAGATGCGCCTTGTCACGAGCCTGCTGCCGCCCCCTCTGCCGTGGTGGCTGTCTGCCCCGGCTGCATCTCCCTCTCAATGATAAAGCGGTCGCCAGAAGGTGTTGTCGTGGAACCCCAGGTCAGCCATTCTCCACTGTGACACGGGTACACAGAGGTGCTCAGCGGAGCTGCCTACGGGCCAGCTGGGGTCTTTGAGGCCGTCGGCAAGCGCACCAATGGCGGGGCTAGCGACGTGCGCGAGTCTTTCCAGTCGTCGGAAAATGTTGAGAACATGCCCCGCCTCGGGCAGCTGCCACAGCCGCGCAGCGTCCCTCTGGTATATGTCCCACGCCTGTGTGAAGAAGCCCCTCGCTGAAGCAGGCAGGCTGCTAAAGGCAGGGTTGCCGACCTTCCCCGGCCTCCTGCTGCTCTCGAACAGCACGTAAGAGCCCAGGCGGTCGTCGTGGCGTGTGACGTGTGCGTGTCCGAGGTAGGTGTCGCGGAGGAGGGTGACGAATCGGTGGAAATCCTCGGACCCCAGCGGGTCGATGGACGACGTAAAGGGCTGCAGAGTGTGCTCCAGCAGGGCGGGGGTCACCTTGTCGGCCAAACGGAGCCGATGCAGCACCTCTATAGCCTGGGAAAAGGTGAACTCAGACAGCCTGCAAGGACACAGCGAGACAGTTACGACATAAGTTCATGACGCGGGAGGCACGTATTTGCTCACCTTGTCTGGAGCTGTTGTGCAATGGCATCAATGAGAGCATCAGTGGTGTTGGTTGGGGCCCAGTGGTCGGGTCGCCCTCTACGATACTGCACCGTTGCCCCCGCCCCCGCCAGCAGCCGCACAAGGTCGCTGTCTGTGGCGTTGCTGTGCTGCAGAGCCGCACTTTCCAATCGCTGCACGGCATCCCTCACCGTGCTGCCGACATTCCACCCCCGTCATGCGGACGAGGCGGCCGTAGTCCTCCGCCTCCAGCTTGAGCAGCAGGTGGTCGTCCATCAGGGTGAGGCACGTGACGGCAAGGAGGTCTTTGGTCTTGCTTCGCCGCTCGTTGAGCAGGCTGAAGACGACGTGCGCCGTCCTGTTGGCGTCCACACTCGCCCGATTCTGGCGGATCTTAACAACACTCTCCTGCCGCTGGCTCAGCAGCGACGAGTAATTGGGGCCGTCGTCGTTGAACAGTTGCATGTTGTTTCTGAGCCACTTGCCGCGGTCATAGGCGAAGAAACGTTGAAGGGCAACAGCTCGTCCAGACGCTCGTCGACAAACACTGCAAACGACGGCACGTCCTTGGTCAGGTTGTAATCGCCCGCCCGCTCAGAGTCCACCTTCCTCAGCTCAACCAGGCCGCCGCCGCCACCACGAGAGTCCCCGTTGGCGAGAGTGGGGGCGCTGGTGAAAATTGAAATGGCAATCAGCAGCGACACTCAGGTCCACCACAGATCTCCCAACCGCCGCTCGTAGGGCCGGTCTGCCGCTCTGCTTGCGCATGCCATGCTGGCGGGAGATGGCGGGTGGGTCAAGGACGCCGTGAGTGAGTGGGGAGTCGGCGGGCGGTACGAGGTGGTGCGGATGGGCAGCAGGAGGGCCACGTACATGCTGCATAACGATGCTGCATCGAGCCAGTAGTGGTGCATCGAGATGCATGCTGGCGATGTCAGCGGACCTTGAGCATCGTATAAGCGTGGTAACGAGACCAGGAGGGACAGCAGAACCCTTCAGCACGTGCGTGAAGAAGATCCTTCTTCTTCCTCCCCAGGCTCCAAGCTCGCAGATCTATCGCCACGTTTCTTCGTGTTCGCCGACGCTTGAATGCCACAAGCAGAGGCCTAGGCCTTGGAGCGTCCATCAAGCAGAGCCTCCACCCGGGACCATGATGCCCCAGCATTTGCCCGACGACTCGACTCTGCCGCCCAGGCCTCCCAATTGCTCCCTCGAGGAGCCCTCTTCTCGGATCTGCAGGAGTATGTTCCAACAGCTGGCCACTCAGACCGGAATCCCCGCACGCATCAAGGTGACCACCACGGGAGGGACAGGGAGGCACAAGCAGACACGAGGGAGGGGACTTCCCTCCCTCGTGTGTGCCTCGTGTGTGGGGCGGGCTGGGCCGTCCGTCCGTCCGTCCCTCCCTCGTGTGTACCTGGGCTAGACCTCGTGCTGATTGCCCGATGTGTGTGTCGATTGATGTTGATGAATGCAGGAGGGGGCGATCTGCGCCTACCGTATCATGCGCAGGGCGGAGTACAGGCGGCGAACTGAGGCGAGCAGGCGCGAAAGGGCGCCTTCACGGGAGCAGGTCAGTCAAGGAAAGGAGTTACCTCAGTCACCTTACGCACAGGCAGACGGACAGACGGGCAGACAGACAGACAGACACAGGGTGGGGAGGCAGGCAGACAAGGAGAGAAATACCGACCGATGGCTGGTGCCTGACCCAATCGACGACACAGCGGCTATGTGTGTGTGTGTGTGTGCGTGTGGTCAGAGCCTGGCTAGAGCCAAGCAGCGTATCGAGCAAGCCGAAGCGCGAGGGTATAAGGGCCTCTCGGAGACCCTGGAGGACCAGAAGTTGACGCCCACATTCCTGCGCACTGAAACACCCACACAGCCACTCCAGGCGTCAGCACAAGGTCGGCGGGGTGGGCCGCTGCACTCAATCGGCAACACGCGGCGCAGGCAGACATGGCCACGCTGGCTCGACTGATTCCCGGTTGTTCAAACATTGGTTCGTTTGTGTTTGTGTTTGTGTGTTTGTGTGTTGGTGTGTCGGTTGGCAGTTGCAGGTCGTATTGCGTCCCCTGTGTCGGCCCCTCCCCCGTCCGCCCCGCCTCCGTCCGCACAGCGCACTGCACCACACGAGCAGCAACCACAGACCTCCAGAGGTGGGCGACCAGCGCACGCCCCATCACTCATGACAGATTGCCGGTGCCATGTCATGTGGTGCTGTGTTGTGTTGTGTCGTGTTGTGTGGTGTTGTGTTGTGGTGACTGTTCAGGTACGGATGCGTCGACCACGGCGGCTACGACCTCGACAGGCAGCATCACATCGTTGCGCAACTTGGGTAAGTACGCACGTCACGCACGCGGGCGGGCGGGCAGGGGCGAGTGGGGCAAGACCCACTACCCCACCAACCACTCGATGGATGTCGTTCGTGTGTGTGTGTGTGTGTGTGATTGTGTGGTTGATCGTGTCGTCCGTCACGTCAGGGACTGAGTACGGCGGCAGTCCCTCGGCCAAAACTGCACCCATCCGACTCTCGCCCGACACGAGGTCAGTTCAGTGAGTGATTGGGGCGCTGTCACACAGCCGCACCAACACAGGCACTGTCTGTGTATCTATCGTCTGTCTGCTGTGTGTGCTTCAGTCGGAATGACATCATGTTGTTGAAGTGGGAGATGCCGGGCAAGTACGTCGAGGTGGCGGGGGCCTTCCCCAACCCCGCTTGGGAGGTTAGACTCCCACTCTTCAAGTGCCCGCGGTAGACATCCATCCATCCATCCATCCACACACGCCTCTCTGCACACGCCTCTCTCACTGTGCTGTGCTGTGTTGTGCTGTGTTGTGTTGTGCTGTGTTTGACGTGTGTCGTCCATCCCATCATTCATTCGCAGCACTGGAGTCTTCTGGTTGTCGTTGCAAGAGGCCTTGCCGGCGGTGCAGTCCGGCGTCTATCAGTTCAAGTACATCGTCGACGACGAGTGGAAATGCGACATGTCACTGCCGACGAAAGACGTAAGTGTCCTCGTGACACACACACACACACACACACACATGGATGCATTTGTATATGTGTGTGTGTGATGTTCGTATGCAGGATGGTAGTGGCAACACCAACAACAGCATGATGGTGGTGGCAGCTGCTGGTATCCTAGAGTGGAAACATCCCGCACAGCGGACCGTCTTACTGGCGGGTGCGCAGCCACACTCACACAGGGAGAGAGAGAGAAAGAGAGAGCGACATGGATTCCCATTGTATCTATGGGGTGCTGAAATGTGTACGCACATTCAGGGTCATTCACAGAGCCGCCATGGAAGCGACAGATGCCGCTCGCCTATGACCCACGGTCAGTGCTGTGGACGAGTGAATGGGCGATCAAACACGTGGACCTGATCTGCACACCTCTTTGTGTGTGTGTGTGTGGGTGCCTAACTATGCAGAGATTCCACCTACCGGATCTCGCTTCAAGAAGCCGTCCCGGAGCTGCGGCCCGGTACGGCTGTGGCACACACACGTGGAAAGGTCCGACGAGCGACGTGTGTGTGGTCTGTGGTTTGCTGTGGGCCATCACATGTGAGCAGGGTCCTATCAGTTCAAGTACATCGTCGACGACGAGTGGAAATGCGACCCGTCACTCCCGACACAAAATGTAAGTGTCCTCGTGACACACACACACACAGAGGCGTCTGCGTGTACACACATCGGTGCATTCCCCTCTCTCTCTCTCTCTGTGTGTGTGTGTGTGTGTCTATGATGTGCAGGATGGCAGCGGCAACATCAACAACGTGCTGCACTATCATCGACCACCCGCCGCACCATCACCATCACCACCAGCCCCACCAGCCCCATCACCACCAGCCCCATCACCACCAGCCCCAGCCCCTCCAGCCCCAGCCCCTCCAGCCCCAGTCCCAGCACCCGCACCAACAACGGCATCAACAATAGAACTTCCTGCACGAGTACGTGTCTTTGTTCGTGGCCACAGCCGACGAGGCATTGATTTCATCTGCCCACTGTGTGTGTGTGTCCGTGTGTATCACATCAGAGTGGTGACGGTCATCGTCGCCGTCGCCATCCCGCCGATGAGCCGCTCGACTTCTCATCATTGCCTGACGTGGAGGGCAGCGGCAGCGACACAGAGGAGGAGCAGGACCAAGGTGAGTGATGGATTGAGGGAGGGAAGAGTGTGTTGGGTGTGAGAACGGCCAGCCATTCATCGGCCGGTGTGTGTGTGTGTTTTGGTCTGTGGTTGTCAGGCTGCCTGTCGCCCCCTGGGCACCGACACTCGTCGGCAACGGACACCACCCGGGCGTCCACAAGCGGGAGTGACAGCTCACCCACAGCACACAACGTAAGCAGCCCCACATCGACCAACAGACAGAGAGATAGAGACACACGCACAGACATGGACACACACGAAGCGCAACGGCTCCTTTGTCTGCCTTTCCTTTCCCTCAGGCCGACCGGTTGCCGCCCACATTGCCCTCGCCGCCTGAGGTGAGTGAGCAGCCGCCGTCTACCCCTGCCGCTGCCGCTGCTGAGGATGAGGGCCCTTTGGAGAGCGACCGTGACATCGAGCCGCTGGAGCTGCAGGGCAAGGGATGGGCGAGAAGACGGTCAGTCAACCAGCACCATTGCGGCCTCACACACACGCGACACACACATGTGTGTCTTGATGTGTGCAGGGCGTCTGTGGGCACGCCGAATGCCACTGCGAGTTCGAGGACTGCTGACGGGCTCCGGAGAAGTTCGGGAGGTCTGCGCAGATCGTCGGCCGTTGACGCCACTGATGCACTCGGGTATGTAAGCGCGCACACACATTTTCCCCCTTTATTTTTGTGTGTCTGTGTGCGCGTGTGTGCGTGTAGGGGTCTGTCTGCGCACCAGCCTTCGAATGAGTCGCTGCGTGAGGATCGGCTCAGACGCGTCGCGTCCCTGTAAGTGCTCGTTGTCGATTGCGGACAGCAAATTCTATTGTTGTGTTGTTGTGTGCGTTGTGGTCAGGTCTTTGGACCACAAGTGGCCGGAGTCGGTGACGGCCCACCTGCACTCACCCGAAGTGCTCGTCGACCTGCACGTCCCCGTATGTGAATTCTATAATATGCAGATGAGTGCTGTGTGTGTATGTGTGTGTATGTGTGTGTGTTTGCAGGACGACCGTCTTTCCACCAAGTTGCGGCTGAATGCGGGAGCCTTCATGTACGTCTGTCTCTTCCACCAGACACACTCGACACGCACTGCCGCCCATCCATCCATTCTTGCATCTCTCTCTCTGTGTGTGTGTGTCTGTGTGTGTGTGCAGGATCCCCCACCCCGAGAAGGTCGAGACGGGCGGTGCCGACGCGTATTTCATATGCGAGATCGCCGGTAGGCACATCCATCCATCCATCCATCCATGTGTGTGTGTATGTGTGTGTATGTGTGTGTGTGTGTGTCTGTGGGTGTAGGCGGTGGTGCCCTTGGCGTGGCTGACGGTGTTGGCGAGTGGGACTCGTTCGGCCTCAGCCCCAAGATGTTCGCCGACGAGTTGATGCGGGGGTGCCAGCAGGCGGCCATCCTGGCACTGACGGACACCGACACACCAACAGCGTCATCAGCCGCACCAGCACCAGCAGCAGCAGCTGCTGCTGCTTCTGCTTCGTCGAGCGCTGCTTCCGCTGCTGCCGCTGCCGCTGCCGCAGCGGACACTGAGACGGGAGTGCGAGAGAAGGACGCCTCTGGTACTCTAACTAATATGCACCATTACAGACACATGGCCTCACACACATGCGTGTGCAAACAAACAGGCTCGCCGACCTGCTCACTGACCCCCCTCGCGTCGGCCTCGACGGCCTCGTCCAAGACCCACCAACCTTCCCCGAGCAACGGCCACGGCGGCAGCGATGGCGACAGGGGCGACAGCGGCAACACTGAGGAGGGCGAGACCTACCTGGAGGAGATCAAGTGCATGGACCTGCCGCCCGAGAAGATCGCCCTGAGGTAGGAATATTCTTTGTGTGTGTGTGTGTGTGTGTGTTGACGGATGGATGGACGGGTGTATCTGTGTGTGTGTAGGATGATGCAATACGGGTACACCTGCACCCGTTCCTACGGCGCATCCACGGCACTTGTCGCCTATCTCGACACGAAGGTCAGTGAATGAGCTTTCGTCTTCCACACACCCCTCTATCCATCCATTCATGTGTGTGTGTGTGCAGGGCGAGAAGCTAGGCGTCGCTATCCTCGGCGACTCGACCATGATACTCCTCAGGTAAGTCAGGCAAGGCACCTGCCTCCATCCATCCATCCATGTGTGTGTCTGTGTGTGTGTGTGGGTGCGTGCAGACGGCAGAAGGTCTACAGCATGACGGTTGTGTAGCGGACCAAGGAGCAGCAGCACTCCTGGAATTGCCCATACCAGGTGTGTGGCTGTCTGTCTGTCTCTCTGTCTGCCTACCTACCTGGATGGACGGATGGATGGATGCGTGTGTGTGTGCAGCTGTCTCGACTCCCTGACGAGAGCCGGTACAACGAGCTCGAGAGGGAGGGCAAGGTGCGCT